TCAACATCTTGGAATCGAATGTATCCTCGTGTTCACGTCTTTTTAACACATTCATCTTCATGTCTATTCACTCTCGATAAATGCACTCGTTGGACTTTTCAGTATATATAGCCATTCATTTCTCTTTTTCTTGTTTGTACCATTACACAGCGATCTTGTTCCACGTAGAACTGAATAGTTACTCAACTTTGCTTTTCTCTTTCTCTCATATGTATTTGCACTAGGAACAATATAGAGAAATAAAATGTCAATCTGTTTTTGTTTTCGTTTCGAAGCATCATCTTTGATTCATTCTGTTATGATCTACATCTTCTATAGGTGCAATTAGAAGACATATTCTTCTTATTTTCATCATTGAGCATTCTCCAGTGGAGGAAAACAAGCTATAGATTTATCTGATTAGCTATCAGCATACTATACGTTCTTCAGGCGATCCATGAAATGATGTCGATAGGTGACATCTGAATTGATATTTGAAACGGCAACAATTAACGCCTACTTGATTTATAAGGAAAATTATGACATAAGTCATGTGACCATGCTACAGTTTTGTGAATCTTGTACGATTGTTACATCTTAGTACGTCATTCGAGATGCTGAAACTTGGTATGAAGCAACAATTAACAAGTAATTCGAAGTGTAAACTAGCTGATCATAAGCTTGTAGAAAAAGAAGAATCTGCGCGCAATGTTCGCAGACACTGTAGACTGCTATGAGAAAGGAAAAGAACTACAATCAAGAGAAAAGAGCTATGCGGCAGCAAAGAAAATAAAAATCTTTTGTTCTGACTGTAATTAATTCTTTTATCTTGATTGTTTTAATAAGAAATATCATGCTATGGAATAAAAGAATCAAAAAACATACCCAGGGCAGAGCAGAATTCACATTGTGTTTAACCTCCTGCCTAAGAAAGAAGCAAAAGAAAGTGCTTGTCTATACAGTTTCTCGTTAAACTATTGCGTCGCCCCTCGGTGGACGACATCGCCTCAAAAGGGTTAAAGATCCAGATTTGAAACTAACAAATGTAAGAACAGTTAGAGATCCCTTTATTTGACTCTTCTATATATAATCTCTAACACGAATAAAGTATAAAAGAATGCAAGAGAAAGAGAACGAAAACAGAAGAGAATGTGAAGGATGAACAGCAGAGAGAAAATAGACAGTAGCAGCTGGACGCGATGTGAAAGTATGTGAATAACATGTCTGTAACAAGAACGTTAATCAATCATAATAAAAATTATATTAAAATATGAAAATATATACAAAAAAATTAAATAATTTCATTGCAATACTCAATAATCAATATAATAAGAGAAGATATTCGAAATGGATTGGTTAAATATTTTCAATAAACTTTCTGTTTGAAAAACATATCTTGTCAGCCCCTGAAGCCGCAATCACAACAAGGTGTCTGGTCGTGCTTTAAGACAGGAGGGCAGCAAGGAAGGCAGCAATCATTATTGCTATTACAACGACACCTTCTACTCGGGATAGATCTTATATTGTCGTTTGCCTTAATGCATTGACCATTCAAACATTTTTCGTTGCAGTCCGTGGTTGCTCCATCAACAATACCAAGATTATTTATGATAACAAATAATACCATAAATATAAACCAATAATGAAAACGATTCATATTAGTAATATTCTTCTTGAATTAAAAGTTTTCTGATTATTGTAATATTCCCCTCGACTGAAGGGAGGGTGATACGGAAAAAACTCAAAAAGGGTTTGTTTGTTTGCTTGTCGGGGTCAAAGGTCAAAGGTCAAAAAAACATCTGCTTCTGCATAAAACTTGACCAAAGGGTAATCGAGGCTGGGGAACTCGAATCTGAGGTTAGTTTTAATTAATTATTAATTGATTATTAATTATTAATGTTTTTAATAAAATTTGGCCAAAAGGTAATCGAGGGTGGGGAACTCGAATCTGTAGTTAGTTTTAATTAATTATTAACTAATTATTAATGTTTTTAATAAAACTTGACCAAAAGGTAATCGAGGGTGGGGAACTCGAATCTGTGGTTAGTTTTAATTAATTATTAACTAATTATTAACTATTAATGTTTTCAATAAAACTTGACCGAAAGGTAATCGAGGGTAGGAAATCCGAATCGGAAGCCAGCTTTTCGAAATTTTGAATTGAGTTTCTTGGGTCAAGGAAAGGGTTTTCTGAGAAAATAACGATATTTGATAAAGGTTGACGAAAGTAAATCGGGGTTGGGGAATTCGATTCTGAAGTGAGTTTTTCGAGATTTCTCATTGAGTTCTTTTAGGCTGAGGGGAAAAATTTTTTTTTTGAGTAAATAATATTTCTTCGAGTGTAGCAAGGGTTATATGAAATAAAATGAATTTTTGTCTATTTTGTATCAGAGCGAAAGGTAAAGCATCATAAAAACGTTGGCGAAGTGTTTGGTGCTTCTGCTTTTAATATGACTTTCAACCAATACGATTTTTCAGACTGAAAATTCAGTCAATTCGACGTATGTGATAAGTTTCCTCTTAATCAGCAATTTCATAACTGAATTTTCATGGATGAGGCTTGTTTTTAGCTGAGTTTCTAAGTGGTGATGCTTTGTGTAGGACTACTCTAATCAGTCAGATATTTTGAATTTTGAATTGGAGAAAATATCAGTTCGTTGTCTGTAGTTAAAGAGGTGTAGGTTTTTCGACAATACTGCCAGGCATTGAGATATTTTCTAATTGAAATTTTCGTCTAATACTGGAGAAAGGAGGAGATGGTGGTGAGATATTCAACTTTTTTATTTTATATTTTTGTTGGAATCGTGGTAAATGTGGTTATAGCTGTTTTGAAAAAACTTGTAAATCTAATAGTTTTCTAAGTAAGACCCATCTGGCATTTGATAGGGTTTAAGTGAAAGGATTTATGTCAAAGTAAAATAAGATCAAAAGTGGCAGCAGCTAGTTGCGAGTGGCGCCCCAAAGGGGCGCCGACGAGCGACTAGCTGCTGCACTGGGTTATCTGCAGAAAAACCGATTGAAACTATTGGGATTCGCTGAATAAGCATGAATAGCTGATGTTCAATGGATCTGATTAAGCAATATCAGATGCAAACAGTTGAAAAAACTATGTCCAGTAATAGTTAAGAACCAGTTTTTGTGTTTAGACAGAATAGCTAAATAATTTATCAGACGAAAAACATCAATCGAAGAATTTATATTTGCTGTATCAGCAGTGGACATGAATGCAATAAACTAGAGTTTCGCTTGGTATATGTTTTTCTTTGCATAAATTCAAGTATCTGCATGTATACTGATATATTCGAATTACCTGTCCAATAAAGTTTCGTTAGTTCACGCGTTAGTAGGTGAATCGATTTTTCGTAAAAGTTTTAAAGAGGATAGCACGATTGCACAAAATTGTCGCAAATATTTTTTGTTTTAATGTCTCTCAGCAAACTGAATAAAACCTCTTTTTTGTTGGGGTACATGTGGTTATCCCCGCCATCGTTGAGTTCTTTAGATTTTTATTGAGTATCAGTGTGAGGGTATCAAATTGATTGGATGTATTCGTGACAAAAATGATCATCTGGTCCCACATACCATTGTGCACAATGCAATTGATGCTAATACCAACGTACAAACACCTACTCTTGTGAAATATTGAGTACTAGTTTGTTGAAAACTGTAAAGCACTATAAAATATCAAAGGGCCGAAAATACAGTCGAGGGTCAAGCGAGTCACTCGGACGAGCGTTACTTGTTCTTAGGGTATATATATAATATTGTTGAGAAAAAAAACACATGTCTTTTGCAAAAAAAATTGCAACGCTAGTTTATATCATGTATTCATAAAGGTGATATACGCAATAATATATAGGTGATTTTTTTTCTTCATTTAATATTTTTATTCTCTCATCTATGATGCGATATTCATCTATAATCATTAGTTATAGATTGATTATATATTTTTTTCAATTATTCTTCATCATAGAACGATAATGTATTTTTCTATAGAATGTTTTTTTTTCTTTGTTCGTTATTCTTCGAATATAATTTTGTATTGATAATCCATTAATGACTAATAAGAGAAGCTTAATATTGGGTTGGTAAGAAATTTTTGTCGTTTACTTTTGAAAATTTTATTTTTATTTTTTAATATCAAGAATACAACTAGCTTTCAACAATGTATGCTCCATCACTATCTATGACTTGTCGCCAACGCTCTGGTAAAAAAAGGATCCTGCGTTCGTAGAAGTCCTGCGACTTTTGGCCACAGAAGTTGAGGAGGTCCATTTTCAGGTCGTTTTCGTCGTCGAACTTTTTCTCCTTCAAATGGTTAGAAAGAGAACGAAACAAATGGTAGTCCGTAGGAGCCAAGTCTGGAGAATAAGATGGATGTGGAACCGTAACCCATCCGAGCTGGGTGTGGGTGTATGTGGGTGGATAAAAAGAAGATAATCGTCCACACCCACACCCCACCCCGTTCTAGGAAGTTACGAAAAAAAACGACAAAAATTTCTTACCAACCCAATATTAATACAAGAGAGCAAAAATACTATACATACCCAGTGGCGGGCCGCCAACGTGCAAAAGTGTGGCAATTGCCACACCAAAAATATTTGAAATAATCGACAACCGGACAAAAACTAATCATCAAAACGATTTTTTTAGTAATTACCACACCAAAAATTTTGCTGCTGGGCCGCCGATGTACATACCACAAAACCAGACACTATAGGTAAGCAAGAATAAAAAACTAAAGAAAACGATACCTTATACAGGCTTCGCAGTGACACTACTTTCCTGATTTTTTCCTGATTTTTTAAAAGTCACCTGCTTTTCCTGTTTTTGATTGAAAATCCTGATTTTATCCTGATTTTCTTACAATTTATTTCTATAGTACTAAATTTAACAAAACAATCACACATTTTTTTGTTTTACTAAATCTGTATTTCAAATTTATATAAAAATACTTATGCAATATTTTCAAAAATACAAAAAAAAAAATAATGTCCAAATTATTTTTATATTCCAATCATTTATTTTTTCTGTTTTCTTCGTAATTGGTTCAAGTTGTCACTGTTTTCAATTAATTGATTTTTTAAAACAGTTAGTCTAGCATTAGCAGCCGTTAACAGTACTTCAGCTATACCAATTTCATTAAATTCTTTATTGTTCATAGCAGTAGCAAGCCTTGTGCTTCCTTCCTCCAACATTTTAGTTGCTTTGGTTAATTCGTCTTGTAAAGTTTTTTGTTCTTTGATTAATTGATTTTCTTTTTCTTCTAATTGTTCATGTTGTACATTAGAAGCTCGTTTTCCATTTATCACATCAATACTGTTAATTAATTTTTGTTGCTCTTCAATGTCTTTGGCATAACGTGAATATGCTTCTTGAACATTGGATAGTAAAGTGGATGTTGTTGGAACCTATAAGTAGTAAATTCCAAATATTTCAAATAAATCAAATATGTACTCACCATATGAGTTTTACCATCTCCATAAAATTTAATACCAGCATTTGTCGCTCTCAAGCCACTAATAGATGATTCAATTAATAACGAACGATCATTTGAAACGAGTTTATTATTTTGAGAAAATCCTCGTTCAACATCACTATTTCCATGTGATAAAGAAAGCAAACATTTCACAAGTTTAATCAATACTAGATATTGTGGTGCACCATTTGACGTAACACTAGAAAATACTTGGTACCAATATTTATCAATCGGTACATACTCAGTGCTGTTGCTTGAAGAATTGGTACTTTTTTTAATCCATTCATCAGATATATCAGCCATTTCATAAACACGCCATTCAGCATCAACACGATCAACTTCTTCACTGGTTAATAAATGTGGAAGATTTCGTGCAAGATACATAATACTTGCTCGAGAAGTTTCGTGTTTACGCATTGAAGGTTGAAAACATTGAAGATGCCGTAAAAAATCATTACTAATTGGTAATGATTTGATCAAATCTTTCTGAAATATTATAATACCCTTATATCAATATTTTGAAATCAATTACTTACTGTTATGTTGCAATAAATTTTACGTACATCTTCAAAAAAGACCACTTTCTCGTTAGGAGATAAATCTTTAATACACATTCGAGTAGTTTCACCAACATCAATATTTATATTATTCTTTTGATTGTTTTGCAGTTCGAAAGAAACGGTCAATAATTGAATACTTTCTTTATCTCTTATGAGTTCTTCTTTTACAAATGAAAGTAAAACATTACGTAATAGGCTACAACATTCATTATAAAGCAAATGCACTAATGGTTGTTCTTGCTGAAACCAAACAAGTTGTTTTTTAAAAACTGTTCGATAAATAAAAAGAATGAAATGAAATTTGACAAGTGTTGATTTGTCATTAATGAAGTTTTTAATTCGAATATATTTATCATTTAATTCTATTTTCTTATCGAATTTCGGAAGATATGGAAGAAAATATTCTGTGATAACATTCCATTGATCAACAATACGTTCAATTACTGTGCCAATTTCGATCCATCGAGTTTCAACAAAACGATTAACAAATCTGGAATAAGATTCATTAATACTTATTGCAACCGATACAAAATCTTCTCGACGAGCAGGAGACCTAGAGAACCAAAACCAAATATCATTAATTGATTCATCAATAAACCATGATGTTGATTTTATTCCTTTTCGAAAGGAACCATGAATAAAATGCAATGGACATGGACCTATCGAAATAAGACCCATTACTGGCACCGAAGCGAATCTATCGAATAGTATTTAGATATATACAATTACAGAAAGAGAGAATTATTACTTTTTTTTCTTTCGTCAATAACTGCTTTGTTAAGAATATCTTTTACTGCTTTATTAACATTTGGATTATCTCTTACTATTTAAATGGAAAATATAATATGTTGAGGAATCGATGTAAAGAATAACATACCTAACATCAACATTTTTGCAATATCAATACCATCAGTTTTCAGTGAATCAATAATAGATTGAGAAATAATATTAGCAGTGGCATGGCCAAGAATAATACTTTTGTAAAATCGAACACATATACCATTTTTTGTTTCAGACCAATATCGAAAAAAAATATCAAGCTGTTTACGAATACCAGTAATTGTTGTTTCATCGAAAAGTAATGAAAATCCATGTGCTTTTCGTACATCTTTGATTAATTCATTAGTAAAATAATAACCAGTTCCATGTGAAATAACATAAGATAATTTTCGTGGACGTAGTGAATAAACAGTGGCAATCGAACTGTCAGGAAACATGTACCGAAAAATTTCTGGTAGAAATTGTGATGAATTATAAGAAAAAGCAAGTTGAGAAGTAGCCATTGCCCATATACATTCAGTACGAGTAACTTCTGAAAAAAAATAAGTACATAACTTATTTATTACATGATAATTTGACTACATATATATTCAATAATTATCTTAGTCTAAGTATCAAGTCAGCGAAAGTGATATAGAAAGAAAATTTTTGCGCAGAAAGTTAACTCTAGCTAGAAAAAATTTACATGTCCATTAATAACATATGCTGACCCTGACGGCCGTGATAACCAGTGCATTATATAATTTTCTTTCTTTCTAGCGCTGTCCACAATAGTATCTAGGGTAGAAAAGAATGTAAGTGCGTATGTTTCTTTTCTTTCCTTTCTTTCTGACCGTCTAGACGCATATCGAAATATGCACTCGAATTTATTATTATATTCTAATAATTTTTCTTATTTTTATATACTATTTAACCGAATAAAAGGGAATTTATTTAGAATGATGACTGAATCTACTTACTTTCATCATGTGTTAATGCTCTTTGATCATTATGAATAGTGATAAAAGGACGTTGTGTTGTATTAACATCTGTTGATATTAAACATAAATTACCATCATTCGTTTGATTAGGTATCGATGATGATGAATGACCAGATGTAACAAGTGAAACTGAACCAAATACATCCTTCATACATTGAATGTGTTTCGGACGAGTGAAATGTTTTTTTATATCAGTCCAGCCACCATTAGCACAACTAAGATCATCTGCATTACACACATTACATCGGAATGTACTAGCTTTTTTGCCTTTTGAAAGCCACCGGGAACATACTCTATTGGCATTATCCAATCTAAGCAACCATTTTGAACAAAATTCTGTTTTTTTCGGCATTTTAAAAGTTTAATGGAAAGGGCATATTTTTCAGAGATAAATGTTTATAACGTTATGTTATTCTTATATATGGGGAGGAGTGCACACTAGACTAAAAAAATAAGAGAAAGAGAAAGAACGAAAAGAAGGAAAACAGAATTAGTAGTGCGCGTATGAGGGAAAAATAACCTTCTTGCAGCATTTATTATCCGTCGACTACTTTAGCCATTTATCGAAACGACATATGTTGTAGTTTCAATAAATTATCATCACATCGTTCATTTTTATGTAGATTTAGTTCTACAAATTTATATCAGAACAGGTTTAAAAATGTCCTGATTTTTACTAAAATTCCTGATTTTTCCTTCAAAATTGTCCTGCCTGTTTTCCTGATTTCGCGGTATAGGCCGCTGCGAAGCCTGCTTATATATCATGTTCATTTAGACAAATATCGTCTTTTCTATTCTTAAAATAAGAATTATGGATCGAATTATTCTACGTGTAATAGAATTAATCAACAAACAATTGTTATCATCATCACGTGATCCTTCTGGAGATTTCATATTGATCAATATTCGAAATGGTCTTAATCAATTACTGGAATCAAATTTCTCAAAAAGTGATTGGATTCGATTGTTTTGTCGACAGATGAATCGATTAATGACTAATAATACTTCAATATCATATGAACTTTGGATGGAATGGCATGATGATATTCTTTGTATAAACAATGGTCGAAACAGTAAGCAACTGAACAGTGACAGTTGGGAACGATTTTTAGAGAAAATGGAATTTGAAAGTCGATTAGAACAATGTGAACGGCAATTTCAAGCAGATTTTGGAGAAAGAAAAAGTTTCAATGAATTATTTACTGAATATCATGGTTTTTTTCAAAATTATCTTCGAAAATGTCTTTCTCTTCATTCAAAAATCCGCGTACTAAGTTTATTTGAAAATCTCGATGATCTTCTTTATAAAGTTTACGACATAACTGATCTTTCATTGACTACAGAAAGACGAAAATGCCTTGAGAAAAAACTCGAATATATTGCTATTGATCTCGATTGTTCAAAGAAAGTCTTACAATGTTATGAAATTTCATCTCCTCAAACTAATAATTCGAATCGTTTTTTACCTTCAATCAAGTCAATCGAAATAACTAAGAGGAATCAGATCGAAGCAATCGAAGATGTATTACAATCCAATCGCTGGCTTGTGATCTTGAGTGATCCAGGTCATGGCAAAACTAGTCTTCTTCGATGGTTGACTCGGTTTTTCTCGGAAAAAACTTTACATAATGGCGAAGAATTTGTTCGTATTCCAATTTTAATTCGAATTAGGGAATTTGCAGCATGGTTCAACCTTCATCCAACAAGGACTTTGATCGATTATATTGGAGAACATACCTGGTTTTTCGAACGTTATTGTGAGGATCACGATAAACATATCTTGAAAAAATTGATCGATCATGGTCATGCATTAATTCTTCTTGATGGACTTGATGAAATTGCCAATATTGAACAACGAGGACAAATTGTTAATCTCGTTCGAACATTCATCGATGTTTATGTTCGTGCACCGGATTTTACTTCGGCATTTGACTCTAAAATGGTTCGAAAACACAAGAACCTGTATTTTCCCGAAACTATCGAAACACCATTACCAAGTCAATCTCGTGGTAATCAAATCATTGTCACAAGTCGTATTGTTGGCTATCAGTTGTACTCATTGGTTGGTCCATTTATCAAACATTATTCCTTATTAGTCCTGAACACTGAAGAAGCAAAAGAATTTGCCAAAAAATGGATGAGATCAGTAGAGGAAAATGTGATTGAGATTTTGAAGAATGAAACAATTGAATTAGATGAACACATGATAGAAAATTCATCAAAGAAAAGACTCCATAATATACAATCGATGTTTGAAATGAAGTCGAAATTAATCGTATCAAATCCTTTATTATTATCTTTAATTTGCACATACATTTTTCAATTATTCGAGCAATTAGATCTCAAATCTCGTATTCAATTGTATTTTCATATTGTGCAAGCCTCATTTCGTCTCTGGAAGTTTCGAAAAGTGAACATCTCGGAAAATATCCTCATGGATTTTTTCATCAATCTTGCTAGTTATCTCCATTTACATTCCCCATCTGGTCTTATCGATGAATTCGATATTCAGCGTCTATGTTATTTAACTTTCCAACATCATGGTTTATCAAATAATCATCGAGAATTACAAAAATATACCAATCAATTAATATCTTTACTAGAACACAACATCGCTTTTGTTGTCGAACGAGGTTTACAAGTATTTGCTTTTCAACATTTATCAATTCAAGAATATTTTGTCGCTCAATCTCTTGTAAAAACTTGTTCGATTGAAAAAATTGCAGAACGTATTGTTTCATTCACTGTTGATTCTCGTTTTCATGAGCCACTTGTTTTGGCTGTTGCATGGATTAGTTTCAATTTGTCATTTGATGCTTATAATCAATTCTGTCATTTGCTTCTTACTTCCACCAAAGATTATTCAATTCCCTTTGGAACAATTCTACTATTCGATACTTTCAACGATTTGAAAATACTTCCATCAAGTTCAGTCCTTCTTCAAGCATTAAATACTCTATTTGATCATCCCTCTAAGCTTATTGGATCAACATATTTCTTTTGGAGTTTATCTCGATTACGAGATGATATTATCATAGAATGGATGCAATCATCTTTGAAAGATTACAACTCCATTTCAAAATTTTGTCAATGTCTTGAGACAAAACGTAACAAAAAATCCGAAAGAATTCATTACGTTTCGAAGTTACCGAATGTTGTCTATCGACAATTATGGTCGTTACATAATAAAAGTCTCTCGATTGAGTTCGATATTGATCAAGTATTGCGAAGTGTGATGGTACAAGACAACATAACTGATCAGATTTTTAATGTCGATTTCTCCTCGTATTTATCATCATACAACAATGACTTACTGAATGTTCATCCTTTGATACTGTCCGTTATTATCGAAGTATGTGGAGGTGTATATTATAAAATTGAAAATAAGATGCTTAAAATTCATTTCTCAACAAAAAAGATGCATCGTGAATCTACTATCTTAGCTCCGATTATGGACTACTTAGATAATAACAAAGAACCTCATTCAATAAAAATTCAAACACTTATCGATTATTATCAAAATTTTCTGGAGGCATCTTCCCCATCAGATACTTCGTCTGTTATAATCGATACTTTTATTGCTTTCATCTGTTTACAAGGTCTGTCTCAAACATCAATCTATCGAAAGTATGAAAACTATCAAGCATTACCGCTAGCACTCGAAAGATTTAAATGGAGTTGGTATCATTTGATGATATCAGGTCTATGCATTAAGTTAAGTACTTGCACCAAATTCGATATATCTTTCATTCAATCTGAACTTCAAACAATACTCAACATGTTCGTTTCTCATTTAAATCCATCCAATGAACAAAACCAATCATTCTTATTAGCATGTCAAGCTGCATTGAGAAAACTCAGAACATTTAATATGAGAGACATGTTTAATTTTATCGATCATAGTAACAATCAAGTCAATCAAGAGAAATCATTCGTTTTGCTCACGTGTCTACCAGAATCTTTACAAAAATTATACTCTTGTACGATAATCTCATCAACTGAGAAAACAGATTCATTACCGTTAATTGTATTCTTACTAGAATGTTTAAAGCAGCTCGAAAATATCATTGGTGACGGGCCTATGCTTCCTTGCGCTTTAACAATATTGAAACAATTATTAATCGAGCATTCCTTAGAAAATTACGCTCTAGCGTTGTTTCGAGAAACATATTCTGATATCAGCTGGTTTATTGCAAAGCCTCAATTATGTGATCGATTTTTGATTGAAGAGTCGTTTAGTTGGGAAGCACTTATCGATGTGGAATGTCAACATATTTCTGAAGGGAACGATTTACAACTTTTTGCTGCATCTATTTCACTCGCTCGAATTTATCAAGCTCAACATCGTTTAGACCGATATTCTTATAAAGAAAAACGAAATAGTCTTTCTTCTATCAAAAGTGAAAAGATCTATCTGGCGATCATGAATATATTCAATTCAATTCTACGAATCATCGTCTTTAGTACTCTCTTAGATATGAACGATCCATTGATCTTTGTTGGAAAACAAAGAGATGAACTGCAAGATGAAATGATTGGTTTAATGTATTCATTAATACCAGATCTTCCGTTATTAACATCAACTTTTCTATTTATTCGATGTAATCGAGTACGACTAGTTTTTCCTGAATTATTCCGAGAAATGTCGACTATCATCGGGGCAAAATTGAATGAAACTGCTGGAAATAGACCAAACGACGAGCAAGAGGCAGCATTCCTTGCACTACGACAACTTCATAATCCCGATCTGGCCAATTATTTATCAGAATTTGCTAGAAAAATAAATAACTTATCTGGTCTTCTTCATTTCAATTCCACAATATTCTATCGTTATTTTCATGATACGTCGATCTTTCAGTCGTGTAATATGAGTCTTTTATCAGTTATGTATTTAGTTGAATTAACTTTTGATGTTCAGAATCTTCCAATTAATATTAAAAAAGATCCCGATCAAATATGTTCTTCATTTATGACGGTTTTTAGACAATTATGGACTCAATTGCCAAGAAGTGCAAAGGTAATGACTGTTGAAATAGCAACACTGATTACAAATAATCTACCAACATTGAACGAGCCAGTCATTTCTTCTGTTATTAACTGCATTTCTAAATGTGTATCGATCAATAAAAGAGCGATTCCCGTAATTAAACAATGGCTCAAATATCAAATGGATGAAAATTTAGAAGATTTTGCACAATATGCTGCATTAGAATTAATAATCAATGGTTCAGATATTCCTAATTTAATCGATATTGTCAAGACGATGTTTCACACCAATAATTGTTTCCGTGTCATATTCGTTGCCGATCGTTTGTTCAATTCTCCACTTGTTGATTCAACAATCGTTCATCAAATTTTAGTTGAATTACAACAAAATGTTCGTTATGCTTCGAAAGTTTCTGTTTGGCTCAATCGTAAAGATACACTCAAATTGCTTCTTAATTTAGAAGTTCAACAGCTCATTTTGAATACTCATCGACAAGATAGACTTTCCATTCGACCATGTCTATTGATGATCAATGGTTGTTCGAAAGATTTACAATTCTATCTTTTAGGACATCTTCGTGCGTTTATGAATAAAAAACTTCAAATTCCAAATTCTATTGAAGAAGAATATGTTGCTATTATTGTTAAATGGATTATCGAAAGATTGATTCAAGATGAAACAAGACAACGCCTATTAGTCAATTTATACCAATATATTTTCACATTACTTCACGATCAACGATTTCCTCGAATTCAAAAAGCCATTGTTAATGCTCTCGATGCGGTATTTGCTTATGTCAATCAATATAAAAGAAAGGTTTTTATGCAAGATGATATAAAAAGTCATTTAGAAAGAGTAATTTCTTATTGGTGTGAATACCCAATTGAGGTTTTAGCTGACTGTTTGCTGCCTTATGGGAACTGTTTATTGCGATTAGAATTATTACGAAAGAATTCCAATGTTCCAAACGAGATAAAAGAAATACTAATCAATATTTGCGAGCAATTCTTTCCCGAGACTCTCTCTATTCGAGCGAGTTTCTGTTTAATTTTCATAGAAGTTTTGAGTAAAGGACATCATCTAGTGTTGAATTGGTTTAAAAACAAATGGGATATCACGTCTGAAACGACATATCAAATATTATTACAACAAACATTATATCGAGCGATGAACAACTTCTATGGACTTAATGAAATTGTCGAGCATTTTTATATCCATTCTGAATCTGTCAATACGTTTGTTATTAATTTATATGAGGATATATCTAACAAAAATAATAATGAATATATTCAGGATCGTGTACCTAATTATCTTCACATAGCGAACTTTATTTGCAAACAACATTCGAAGAAATTTTGTGATGCTGTAAGAAATAGCTTTTTTGGTGAAAAAGAATTCCAAACGAAACTTTATATTCATTCCAAAAATTATCCGATCGATGCTGTAAAATCAATAAACATTTATAGTCTTTTTGGTATCGTAACAGTCGAATTCCTTCAGATGTTAGAATCGATTGGAGAGTATCGGTTAGCTGATTTTAATAATTGTTTAAAGAACCTCAAACAAATATCTGATCGAGATGCTGTGGAGAAATTATTTGATTTATTAGATCAGAAGAGATATCATCAAATGTTTGACCAATTTTTATTTCTATTGAAAAGCCTTATTGAAGAGAATGTTATATCTTTGGTAGAAGTACATCAAAGACTTCCACTTGTCAATAATGTCTTCTATGAATCTAGTTTCGAATGGCGCTCTCATGAAGAACATATTTTCGATCTATTATTAGATATCAGTTGTTTCGAAAATGAAAAGATTCCGCTACGTATTAACACGACCTTTACTACAAAGGATGATATTGATAAAGAATTTGATACGCAAATGGCAGAACTCGACAATAAACTCAACTTACCTTGTAAAGAAAATTTTTTAGGAGGCTTTTGTTTTCCAAAGCGTTACCGTGCAACTTATGGTTAACTTTTGGTATCATCATTATTATCGTGAACTTTCTTTTTTTAAAATTTTTTCTCCATATTCAGTCTATAAAACATTTAATCAAGTGTAGCAAGAATACAGATGTTCACAGTAATAACTTAATATTCATTGCTACCTCTAGATACAGACTTTATAATATTATGAATATATGTCAAGGGAAAAAAGCGAGACTTCATCTACGTCCAAATTTTTTGAAGTACGAGGGAGCACAACAGGAGCTCAAGCGGAGTACAAGGGGGAGTACAAGGAGTGTGGATGTGGGTGTGGGTAGGGTGTGGGTGTGGGTGTGGGTAGGGTATGGGTGTGGATGTGGGTGTGGGTAGGGTATGGGTGTGGGTGTGGGTGTGGGTGTGGGTAGGGTATGGGTGTGGGTGTGGGTATGGGTGTGGGTGTGAATATGCATCAAGAGAATATCTACACCCCACACCCCGTGGGTTCAATGACTTGTAAATCAACATCGGTATCATTTGTATTCCAAGTCATAACTATCCTTAAGTCAACATGTAGAATTCGATATTTGTTTTTGTTGATGATATTTGATCACAAACAAGAAATTAGTGATATAGAAAAATTTTTATGGAGAAAAATGTGAGATAAATAACAAGGTCAATACACCACAAAATTTGATTATTATTATTATTATTATTAGAATGTGGGCTGAGTTTTTTATGAG